AATTGATGCTTTTGAACTGTGGTGTTGGAGAAGACTCTTGAGAGTCCCTTGGACTGCAAGGAGATCCAACCAGTCCATCCTAAAGGAGATCAGTCCTGGGTGTTCATTGGAAGGACTGATGTTGAAGCTAAAACTCTAATACTTTGGCCACCGCATGAGAAGAGTTGACTCATTGGAAAAGACCCTGATGCTGGGAGGGATTGGGGGCAGGAGGAGAAGGGGACGACATGATGAGATGGCTGGATGGCATCACCAATTCGATGGACATATGTTTGGGTAAACTCTGGGAGTTGGTGATGGACAGGGAGGCCTGGTGTGATTCAAGGGATCACAAAGAGTTGGACACAACTGAGCGACTGAACTGAACTGATTCCTCTTAGAATGACACTAATATTAAAGAAATGTTCTATTTTCCATGTTTTACATGATTCTATTACTATACAGCTTCACACTTAGAAAAGATAATTCCCGATTTACCTGGATATCATGCCTCTGAAAACAAGTGGAACTTCTGCTCTGTAATTTCATCCCTGTACTAAATTTCACTGAATAGTTTTATTGAGCATCATGTAGAGTAATACAGGCTGCACTATGATGAAATGAAATGAAGGCCCTGGCCCTGGGCAGTTAGTATTTCTGGCACAAGTTACAAAACAAATAGCCTTAAACATGTTTCCAAGAAAGCTGAAAGTTTTCTATTGAAAACCCACTTTCTAAGAAGTTAACAGAAAAAAATCACATTTAGCTCCTCCCCTGAAGGTTCTGTGAAGGACAGGCGTCATAAGGCAAAAGGAGAAGAGGGCGGCAGAGGATGAGGTGGTTGGATGGCATCACCGACTCAACGGATATGAATTTGAGCAAACTCCTGGAGATAGTGGAGGACAGGGAAGCCTAGCATGTTGCAGTCCATGGGGTTGCAAAAAGTCAGACACGACTTAGCAACTGAACAATAAATAATAGGTCATCAGAATCATAATTCACTGAACAACTTTATCCTATGCAAAACACAACTGAGTACCAGACTCTGAGACCAATTACATCTACCTCCACTATAACATGTAATACCACGCCCTCCAAATTGAGTTCTTTTGTTGGGTTGTGTGTGTTCCATACAGCATCAAAATCCAAACAGTGAAATAAAACTTTCAAAATCCCCATCTAGAATGCTAAATATATGTATGAAAACCATCAGATTGTGAACTACCCATATTAGGGATTTTAAATGAAAAACTAAAATATTTTTATATCTCAGAAAAGTTTTCATTTAAGTTATTAAGAAAAGTCTTTTTGATGCAATTCAGAAAAATGGGGTCAGTTCATTGACAAATATAGTACTTTACATATAACTTGCCAATGTTTAGGTTGGTAAGACCTCAAAAACCATCTCAATACCAAAAACTGTCTAAGGAATTCTGGAATACAGAGGACTCATAGCTTTAAAAAAAGCAGGTAAATCCAGGTTTTGTTATTAAAACAACCATTATAAGGACAAGAAAATATTTTAAAAAGAAAATTAATGTTAAGATGTCATCAATAAAATATAAAATTATATGTAATTCAAAATACGGATCTTGGGAACTTAACATTTAGTCAAAAAAGCTAAGTGGAAAAGAACTACATATAGCATTACATATGTGACTATACTTTATGATTTGCCCAGAATCTTCCTCGTTTATATGTGTTCTACTGCAGTTATTATTAGCAATCCTTACAGGCTGAAGTCTCTCAACCTAGCTGATAAATTATATAGTCATTTTTAATATAATACATTTCTATAAAATGCAAAATTAAATAAAACTAACAACATATACTTCGTTTATGCTCTTTGAGAACCCAAAATAATCCAGAAAGAATGATTTAAAATACATTCATAGGATATCTGAGGCAGAGGAGAGGTACAGAACTGAAGACAGGAAGGAACACACAGGTAAAGACAACTCCAGCTCTTAAACTGGACGGTGAGCCATGAGTACTCATTTGATAGTTGTTTCATAATTAGCATTTTTCATATGTTCATATACATATATAAAACATTTATTTAAAATATTAAAAAGAGCAAAATAATAAGATGGGGTAAAATTACTACCCATGATCCATGTTTTTAAGATAATAGAATAAACTATCAGAAAATTTATCAGCAATTCAATAGTAATTCTGATAGATGAGTTAAAAAGTATTTTCTGGCAGCCACTTGCATCATGCTAGCAAAAGTTACACAGAAAAAAATTACATCTATTTGATGGATAAAGGAAAGCTGGTTGCTTGGTGGGTTTGAATGAAAGATGGTTGATATAAGAAAGAAAGCTGGAATAGGATGAGGCAACTGACAAATAAATAAATAAATAAGCACAAGTACATGATAAAGGAAGCAAGATACAAGAGTATGAGTACAGAAAGAGCTAATGCAAGAGGTTAGTCGGAACATGAACTTCTTCTATCAAAACTAAAAGGTAAGAGTTTGTATAAATAACAAGGCCGTGAATGTATGCTGGCAAATAAAGACAGTGATAAGCATGAACATTAAAAATATTGTAGAAAATAACTTCCACAGTTATCTCACTTTAGTGGCACTTATCAACAGAGGATCTTATTCAGCAAAATCACTAAGAAACATACACTAAGAGAATAAATAATTTTTTGATTTAAGTTAAGGTAAATGTGCAAACTGAAAGTAAAATGTGCAAACTGAAAGTAACTGGTGATTTTACTAATTCAGTGTTTATATTCATTACTTGAGTATACTTAGGAACTAGGATGCTTGTATGCTTTGGTGATGATTCACAGTTATACTCCTAACTCCTAATGATGGTCCCATCATTAGGTTTTTAAACAGTAAAAAAAAAAAAATAATAATGGTATGTATGTTTTTATTGATGGAAGCTAGGTCTGTATTTATTACAGAGTAAAACAGTAATTATTAAGAAATGAATACCTGGAATACTTGCAGGAGAAATTGGGCCAGATCGTGACTGGTTGCTTCCTACAGGAGAGCCGACAGGAGAAGGCGATGGGCCCCCAGGGATGCTGGAGAGATGGGGAGATGCATGTGGAGAGAAAGGCGACTGAGCTGGGTTGCTCTGATCTCCTTGGCTGCTCGTGGACCCGGATGCACTGACTGCTGAGCTCAAAGTTGCTTCCGTTCCCGTGGGGAGGTCATCAATGGAGCCAGACAGGTCCTAAGAAGGAAAGAAATAGCAGGCATTGATGGAGTAACACATATTTGGACCAATACCTATTCAAAATACTATTTGACCCTAACCTTTCAGAGTTTTTCTAGAGAATATCCCAAATTCAGAGCATGGCCACTTGTTATTAGAAGATTTTAATGAGGTCTCTTATAAGATAAACCCATAGGATCTAGTCTATCGCTAGAAAGTGAATAAATTTGCACCTCTTTCATTAAACTGTCCTACAGCTTTCCTTTAAGCTGTCAGCGCACAGTCCAACAAACCCGCCAAAGACTCACAGGAAAAGCACGCTAGGGGGTGATGTAGCATCTGAATGGAATGCCTGATTCATACATGATCACTTCAATAAACCAAAAACTAAAGGCTTTGGATCTGATTAATATTGGAGGACTGTCTCAATTTCAAAATATGATCTTCTAATGTAATAGCAATCCAAACTGTAACCAAACTTTGTTGGGGAGAAATTCTTATATTTTAGGTAATTCAAAAGTTCTCTTTTAAATAGAAGAGTGATGCATATTTTTACCTGATATGATGACAATAAATCCCTTTGAAGTTAGTTGGCAGAAATGAGTCCTAACGTTATAACTTACTATCTTTTTTTGAAACAGTCATTTGTATTAACTCTAGAAAAACAAGAGGTACCATACCAGAAGGAAGTACAACCAGAGCATATTACTTGGCCTAGCAGTGAACACTGAGTATTGGTATAGTATATGTTTGTATTTGTTGTTGTTTAGTTGCTAAGACATGTCCAACTCTTTTGCAACCCCATGGACTGTAGCCTGCCATGCTCCTCTGTCCATGGGATTTCCCAGGCAAGAATACTGCAGTGGGACGCCATTTCCTTCTCCAATAACTTACTTTTTATAACAGTTTTAAGCTAAACAAACAATCTTTAAGGTCCTATAATTTTACCATAATACCTTCTAAGGCAGATATTAAAATTCCCATTTGACAGACATAGAAACCAAAGGTCAGAGAGTCAAGGTTACTGTTACCAGTTACACCACTGAGAACAGACAGCATCTGCCAAAGATTATGACAGGAGGATGAGAGAAGAAAAATGAGAAAACTGTCTTTTGAGCCCTTATCAGAGTGAGAGGACAGAACCTTTACTCCAGTCTTTCTCACGGCTGGACACAAAGGTCCCAAATGGGGTTCCCACCAACAGGAGCTCTGTACACCAGTGCAGGCCTGTGGCAATGGTGAGGCTCCCACATCACTGACTCTGCAAACCCAGATGAGACCTGGAACTAGGTGCTAAATGAGCCCTAAAGGCTGAGGGGCAAGATAAAAGATACCTGTCTTGATAACTTAGGACTGAACACTGCAGAATGGGATCAGAAATACTAGGTTATGGTACTGTCTGTAAAGCAGATTCAACCCTAATTGACATCTTCCACTCACGCATCTTTATTGTTTAATCTTACCTCACTGCTTACTACTGAGACTGCTAAAACTAAGGCTCTGGAAACTGATGGAGGAAGATGCTTAGCATCTGAAGAATGAATGTAGACCAGCAAGTACAAAGGGGGCCACTAAAGCAGAGCTGGTTAGAGCTCTTCAGGGTACCCCAAAATGTCACAACAAAAACTCAGGATGAGGATCCAGGGCTCCTGGAAAGTTTATCTATTAACCATCTGTTATACAATTAACTTCTCTCTTTTTAACAGCAAAATTGCCACTGATTAAAAACATTCTAAAGAATAACTGATGAGATCAGAACCTCACAAAAAGATGAATATTATAGAAAAACAAAAATTTCTTATGCTAAGAATAACATCTAAGTAAAACACAGTAATCTTCAATGTCATATAATTGAGTGTATGAGTAAGAAACCTAACAGTAGCAAGTGATTAAAAATATCACCTCTAGAAAAAGTATCATCAAAGCTCCATAATAAAATGGGACAAACTGAATCACGTTTTCAGAATTCAGAGAAAAAAATATATTAATATAAATATCTCTACTTAGGGCATATGAGATGCATGGTTTTGCATACATTCAGCTGATAAACGTTGTATTCAACTTGATGACTGGGTTCAACAACAGTTCAATTCAGACTTTCAGAACTTTTTGTGAAGCCAGGTAGAGACAGAGGAAGAATATTATGCAAGTAAGATACTAAGTACAATGTAGAAGGTTTAGTTCAGTTCAGTCACTCAGCCGTGTCCGACTCCTTGCGACCCCATGGACTGCAGCACACCAGGCCTCCCTGTCCATCACCAACTCCTAGAGTTTACTCAAACTCATGTCCATTGAGTTGGTGATGCCATCCAACAATCTCATCCTCTGTCATCCCCTTCTCCTCTCGCCTTCAGTCTTTCCCAGTATCAGGGTCTTTTCAAATGAGTCAGTACTTTGCATCAGGTGGCCAAAGTATTGGAGTTTCAGCTTCAACATCAGTCCTTCCAATTAACACCCAGGACTGATCTCCTTTAGGATGGACTGGTTGGATCTCCCTGCAGTCCAAGGGACTCTCAAGAGTCTTCTCCAACACCACAGTTCAAAAGCATCAACACTAGTGTCAGGAGGGTAAAATGGTACAGCCACTGTGGAAATAGTTTGACAATTTCTTATAAAGNCTAGACAGACCTTTGTTGGCAAAGTAATGTCTCTGCTTTTTAATATGCTATCTAGGTTGGTCATAACTTTTCTTTCAAGGAGCATCTTTTAATTTCATGGCTGCAGTCACCATCTGCAGTAATTTTGTACCCCCCCAAAATAAAAGTCTGTCACTGTTTTCACTGTTTCTCATTTTGCCATGAAGTGATGGGACCAGATGCCATGATCTTCGTTTTCTGAATGCTGAGCATTAAGCCAATTTTTTCACTCTGCTCTTTCACTTTCATCAAGAGATTCTTTAGTTCTTCTTCACTTTCTGCCATAAGGGTGGTGTCATCCGCATATCTGAGGTTACTGATATTTCTCCCGGTAATTATGAAGTACTCACACTTCAGCAATTAAGGCAATTATCTGAGTCCCTCCAAACAAAACTTTAAGTACACACATGCAGAGGTGTGAGCTGCAGGCTGACAGGGTCCACAGGACAGGATTCCACCCATTCCTCCTGCCCCAGGCTGAATGCTGACCTCTCTGGGTGTGGAAGATAGTTGGGTCCTGAATAATTCTTTAAGTACCTATCCCCAACGTATTCCCTTCCTAACCTGATATAACCAGTTCACAAAAGTGCAAAGGGGCACACCTGTGGACTCCACAAAGCAGGGCATGACAAGCTATGTGAGGACTAAAATTAAATCCTACCTATTCCGGCACCACCCATAAGCCACACATTTTTAAATGACAGGAAAAAAAAAATCAGAAGAGTAATACTTTGTGATACATGAAAAATATTTGAAATTCAAATGTCAGGGTTTCATACTATCGTACTGGGACATCTTATAGTCACAGCCACTCCTCTGAAGTGCTGTCTATGGCTGCTTTGGGGCCACAATGCAGACCTGCATTGAGACTATGGCCCTCAAAACCTATAATATTTACTATCTGGCCCTTACAGAAAAGGGTGCTGACCTGCAGTATCTAGTCTGGCCTCTCATGCCTTTGCCTCTTCCATGGGGAAACAGGAGGAGGACAGACAGGTCTCAGCTGAAATGCATAGTGACCTAAGTGCATAAGGAATCATATAGGCTTCACCAAGAAAAGGGACCAACTCCACATTCATACCTGTCTGGAAAACACTGATTGGGTGCCAGATAGAATTCTCCTCTTTAATGGTATGAGACTAATTCAGGGAACCCCCACTTAAGAACGGGTGGCAGGCTCTATGTACAGATACCTATTACCTAACAAACGTGCATTATTCATAAACAAGGGTCCATCATGTAAGAATCAGTTGGGAGGAAATATGCCTTTCATGATTTCTTTAAAGAAAAAAAAACTGGTAGTTAACTAGATATAAAATCATTATTTTCTAATATACTACCATAAGAAATTCAACAGAAAAGATGACATAGATTCAATTTAAAAAATCATTTGAAGTTAAATAATTTTATGCAAATCTTTTTTCATAAAAAACAAACTGTTACTTGGAAAATTTTAAAATTCTCTGCACTACCTATAAATTCCTTCCCTGTTTGCCCTTAAAATTCTGTTATGGTTGAAAAAGTGACATGGATGGGTGTTAAGAGAGTTTCATTCAAGCTGCAAAGGCATGAAAAACATTTCTGTTATTCAACAAGCTGATCAAAGAAATATCAAGAGAAAAATATAGAAACGGTGGCTTTCTTAGTGTTCACAAGTCATCAGAATTTCAGTGCTGACTACACCTCAGTGTAACAGAAGAGTAATAAAAAGATATAATTTCTATATTACTGTTATACACACATGTAACTTTTATATGTAAATTATAGGGAAATATTCCCGCCCTGCAGATACTTAGGGTATCCATATGTATAGCCATCTTAAAACACGTTAATAAAAGAAGTTCAACAGTGGTTTAAACATTCAGCCTAGTTAACAAAGAAGCTCTGTAACGAATACCCCTCTAGAGGACAATTTAGTCAGCAGGGCACCAACTCTATTCTTCCTTTATAAGTACCATCAGATCTATGATGCCTGTAAAGAACAGAGAGACCTTACTGCATCTCATTCTAACCAAGGCACCTTCAAGCTACAGTGCTTCCATTTATCTTGCTGGAAAACTGGCAGGTAAGGTAATTGCAGGGAGGACTCTTTTTAAGGGGCTGGAGATCCCCCTGCCCCACAGCATTCCTTACATCCTCCCTCTTTACTGATGCAGTGAAGGGTAAGGCAATGGCTTCATGGGCTCATGCATAGTAAATTCAGTATTTTGCAATGACAATCTGATTTGGTGAAGTCTTGCTATCAAGTTGGGTTTTCAATATCTGACATCACTCAGAATACGGAATACTTTCTACCACACCCCAAATAATACAGTCCCTACTATCAATGGTTAGTTTATATTTATAAAATCAATGCTTTTTTTGGGGAAAAGCTTGTTTCAC